GGACCCCCCGCCGCTCCTTTCCCACCCTTTCCCAGGGTTTTCCAGGCTCCCGCTCTCTCCTGCAGGCTCCTGAACAACGAGGGCTCCCTGCTCGCCTATTCCGGCTACGGGGACACAGACGCCCGCGTCACCGCGGCCATCGCCAGCAACATCTGGGTGGCCTATGACAAGAACGGCCACCAGGCCTTCAACGAGGACAACCTCAAGTTCATCCTCATGGACTGCATGGTGCGTCCCCCCGTCCCCCCCGCCTCCTTTGGCTTCTGGGGTTGTTTTTAAATTATTTTTCCCCTTTTTCCCTCCCGCAGGAGGGTCGGGTCGCCATCACGCGCGTGGCAAACCTGCTGCTGTGCATGTACGCCAAAGAGACGGTCGGATTTGGGATGCTGAAAGCCAAGGTAAGGCGGGAGCTGCCACACGGTGCCGGGGGGAAAACAGGGAATATTGTGCAAATCCCCTAAAGATGGGAATAGAAATGATGGAGAAGGGTGAGGGGCTGCTATGGCACCTCCCATGCCATCCCCAGCACTAAAATGCTGCTTCTTTGAAGCCCCCAAGTGCAATTAAATTAAAGTGCAATTAAATTAAAGTGCAATTAAATCAAAGCCGCCGGGACGCGGGTTGGAGCTCACGGCACTCTCCGCTCGCAGGCGCAAGCTCTTGTCCAGTACCTGGAGGAGCCGCTGACGCAGGTGGCCGCGTCCTGAGCTCTCGGAGGCCGTCACCGTCTGCTTCCACCTCCGGAGCCGGCACAGGAATACGGGAACCGATCCTGGTGTTTTGTCCTGCCTTGAAAAATATGGGGAGCGGGAGGGAAGGGGAGAATAAAATCGTGGCTGATGCTTGTGCCCTACCTTGCGTGTGTTTGTTTTTTAAATGAAGAGTATAGGATTTGGCCCTGCATTTGGGAGTGGGCTGGGGTCCGCTGGGCTCTGCGACGAGCAAAATGCAGCGAAATACAGCAAAATAGAGCAAAATGCATGGGCAGCCTGCAAGATGCATGAGCCCTTTGGGGCCTAACCCGGAGCTGGGTCCCCGCTTGCTGCCGACTCTCCCTTGCTCTTCCCGGTTCTCGCACGATGGCAGCAGAGACGCGGGAACGCGCGGGGCCGCCGGCGGCGGCCGGGGCGGCGGGGGCCCGGCCCGGGG